AGAGAGAGAGAGAGAGAGAGAGAGAGAGAGAGAGAGAGAGAGAGAGATTCCATAAAGTCATTCTTGATTAATATAAGATTTCGAGTCGATGTATGTTTCAACTTTTATTTGCTCTTTGAACTTTCACAAGTTTGCAGAAAGTAAAAAAAAGCCCTTTTTAGTTTAAAGTCCCGACCACGACAACGACCTGTAAAGCTACCATAACGGTGCGAAAAAAAGGACAACAGTACATTTTGTTTGCTTTCTTTGTCTTCACTAGTGATCGATTGAAAAAACTAAATTCAAAATTAAGAGAAGAGAACCAAAACACCTTTATATATGCGCGGATACCCACCCGAATGATACCCGGATTTTGTCGTAAAGTTAAAATTTTTAAACAATTTCTACCAAACATGCAGATAAAATCAATTTTTTTAACTAAAAGTGATCTGAATCTTTCTGCTTTAGATATCGATTCTCGTCTTTCGTTCGTCGATATTCGTCACGTCGTGTTACGTGAACAGGAAGGCGTAGCTTTCAAATTGAAAATAAATTAAAATCATTTTGTTCTCTCTCTCTCTCTATCTCTCTCTCTCTCTCTCTCTCTCTCTCTCTCTCTCTCTCCCTCTCGCTCACATATGTTACAAAAATTAGCGAAAGGTTTGCTTTTTATACCGTGGCACAGGATCTGTGCTGATTAACTGTCGTCACAATTTTCATAAACAATTCTCATTGAATGTAGAAAGAAAAAAAATAATTTATTTAATTATTTTATTCTATTTTTTTTTTCTTTGTAATTATAAAAAAGAATTCAAAGTTTTATTATTTCCAGGGGATGCGATATCCGAGATGATCTTTTTTCTTCTTCTTCTTCTTCTTCAAATCATAACCATATCCGGTAAAAGAGATTCGTTTCAATCTTACAATTTTGCTTACAATTTTCTTTAATTGCTCGCATATTCTTTTTGTTCAATTAATTAAAACGTCATCCGATGCAAATAGTCAGACGTACTTGAATATGCGTCATAAATAATGACACATTGTTTCGGTATATATTGTTGTAATGCTCTTGATAGTTACCATAAGTCATTGCTGGAGATGCGTATCTTTTCGCGTTCATTTGATAAATTTTAAACTTTTAAATTAAAAGTTTCATTAAAACGTTATGGATATATCATCGTGCAAGTCGTCAGGAAAACGCCAGGTGTCCATTATCCAAAATTTATTATAAATTATAAAAAAAAAATCAATGATATATTTTTACGCTTACAAGCGAACATCTTCCTTAAAACAAATATTATCTGATTTTAAGATAATAAGCAAGAAAACTGTATATGCCGGCGTTAGGGCCTTCGATTACTCATCAAATTAAATAAAGGATTTATCATTAAGAGTGATACCTTTTAAAATTTCAAAAAAGCCAAAAGGGAAACTGTGCAACTCAATATCTTTAGATGTTCGTGACTGATGAAAGTGTGCGAAAAAGTCTCGATATCGTCGAAAAGTTGTCTACAAAAAAGCAAAAGAGACATGTGCGTCAATTAAGCCCTTTTTACAGGATCACAAGGCTTTCTTAGTGTTCCTAACCACTCGTCCTGACATCTCCTGCCTATCGTATGACACATTATCGTGACTCCCCGTTCTTTGGTCACACTGTCCGCCTATGAAATAATCTTCCAGCAGCGGTCTTTCCCGCAGTACCTGTTGTTTCCACTCTTAAGCCAACCGTCCACGGGAACTATTCCATCCTTCCGTCAATCTCTATCTTTAAACTTTACTATCCACTATCGTGCGCACGCATATAAGTGGCATCCTATGAGTGGCTGTCCATATACTAAAAAAAAAAAATGAAGAAGAAAATATATGTAAAAAAATGATATTCGATCATGTCCGAATCTTTTATAGCCATTACCGTTATCTTGAAAAGAGAAAAGTAGGCAAGGCTGATTTTTCCCATTTTCGAAATCAAAGTTTTTCTCGTACAGATATGCATTGATTTATCGCTTCAAAGAATTGTTTAGAAATTGATTACACAACTTGCGGTGCTTGCGGGTTCAAATCTTAGTGCGTTTTGACAGCACTTTATTGCAGCTATAGTCAATCGGTGGTCAATCAGTAAAGGCGTATATAATGCTTATCGAAGAGGCCACTTCTCTATTTTCCAGCTTTTCCTCCCTTTCTTCTCTTTTTTGTGACCATTATCGTGTTACACATACACTGGCGACATCCCCTGAGTGATTGTTGAAAAAAAAAAGAAAGAAAATTGTTTAAGATTCCTCTTATTCCTCGAATTTAATAACATAGTTATAGGCTCGTAATTTGTTGGATGTACGATATTTCCTGGTCTGGCAAACGAGATAATCGAATAGAAGAACCTCTTGACGGCACATCTTGTAACAAATGTGAAACAAGTATGAAAGTATGAAGGAATAAATTGACATAGACGAGAGAGCGAATGGACCGGATTTATGAAATAACTAAGAAATTTAATTGACCACCGGAATCGACCGATTGTTATATTTTTGAAATGATTAAGGATCTTATGTGGTTGTGTGTTTTTGTGTTGAGTCAAGCAAAACAGCAAAAAAACTTCTTCGGATATCATCGAAACGTGCCTGTTATCGTAATGCGGCAAATAAGATAAAAAAATTAGTATACCTAGTATGCAGTTTCATGTATGTATAGCTTTCTGTACATTTTATGCTTACACTTATCTTTTTTACGTTTATGTGTTACAAAATCTGGCTATTTTTTTATGGGAAAAGCTTGATGTCTATTTGGTATTTGTTCAACATACTTGAGACACCACTTACATTTATAAAAGAGCATTTTCGTTCTCGATATATGTAGGTATGCTTGCGCAAAAACATGTAACTAAGCAACATGTACATATTTATGCATATAACATAGGTAAGGGAAAGAAAGCCAGTCAATGTTTGAAGAGGGATTTCGCTACCAGCGATTCTTTATGCAAACACGAGAGTATTTTTCCTTATTTTCGTTAAATTAAATTTAAGCGCATAAAAAGGGATTAAATGAAAAAAAAAAACTTAAACAAGGAAAAGTTTGACTAGAGATGTTAAGGAGAATAGATGATACATGCGTTAGTGGAAGTAACATTTACGTATATACGTTACGTACCTATTTAAAAGATCCCTTTGTTCTATGTTTTATTTGATACTTACGGTTTCTTTAGCTTATTTAGTTTATTTTTCTTTTTATTATATTTGTTAGGGAGAACGTAGTTTGTTGCTCATTCAAGTAAATTTCGCTATGTTTAATGCTTTATCCACATAACACAAATAACATAACGCTTGAAAATTATTTTCTTTAAATATTAGGTAATGTTACTTTGCATTGGGAACTCAATTTATTACGAGTTTATGATAATTTTTTATTTATTCAAAGTTAAATATTCCTTCTTTTTTTTATCGACTGGAAATAATTTCCTTTACCTTTTCGTTTATATTTAAAGGATTTCTTAATTACAAAGAATTTGTAAAACAGAAAAATGAGAAAGAAATAGCTTTACATATTTACATATTCCTCACGATCGGTACGTATGCCATATAAAACAAATTTTCCTCTCTCATCCACAAATACTCATTGTGAATATCACGACGTTCATACAAATATATTCCGAA